ACACACATTTTTCTCTCATTGCTTTTTAAAGACCTTTTAAGTGGGAAAGAACTCACCTGGCCTTCCACCAACTCTGCAACCTATAAAAGGACTTTCCAAGCTGAAGGCTGGGATCCAGCTTCCCCCCCCCCGCGATCTCTAGGAGGAAATATCCACAGCTTTTCCTCCATGTTTTTCTACACTCAGCCCCTCCAGTCTGGGTAAATACCTGTGGATTAGTGTTAAAAACCCACTGGAGAATGGTCCTCTGCAGGAAAGAAAAATAAACAAATGTATGGTCCCTCTGAAGGTTCACTAGAGAAAGGAATGTGTGGACTGAGCCTATATTCCTCCTGGGAAGTCACAGGTATAGTCTTTGGAGTGGGTACCACGTTAAAAACTTACTATCTCCTTGAATCTTCTCAACAGCCCATTGACTTAGGAACCATTATGCTCCTATTTGAGACATGACGAAACTGAGGCTCAGACAAGAGAACGGCACTGGCTTGAAGTCACAGCCAAGACAGAAGTAAGGATTCAGTCCTGCCTCCGTCTGACTGCAAATGCTGTTCTATGCTTTGGGGAAGGAATTGGAATATAATTGTGCTCCCTTCAACACATAGGCAGATTTAGGAAAAGATTGAGAAGTGCAAACTAGACCCTCATCCTTGACCATGGTCTTTAGTCCTCCCTGCTCTAGATATTGTCCACTGTTCCACCATACTGTTATTGTTGAGAAAGCCCAGGGATATAGGTTTGCCTTCTTGTTTTGATCATTCTTGTTGGTTTAAAAATATAATAACACATCTTCAGTCATCCATGTCACAAAAGAATTTTCCTTTGTTGGGGGTGCTAGGGATGCAACATTTTTTCAGGGGGTCTTAGTTTATGATCCCTTGGCCCCCTTGGATGCTTGCCCTGCCCCCACCTCACCTCTATGGTGGAAAGGGGTTCTGGTCTTTTCTAAAGTGGGTGGTTTGTCTTTTAGTCTTTTCCTTTGGGATGTGTGCGTGTGTTTGTGTGTGCCACATGTGTGGCATGCATGTGTGTGTGTGAACAGCTTTGGGTTCCACTGGTTTTGCTGTGAGCTGAAGTTATCTGTGGGTCTGTGGTATCTGACACTGTGGACATTAATGTACTTCTTGGACATTTTAATAAAATTTTTTAACAGTTCAACATGCCTGTCACTTCCTGACACTTTCCTTCCTTCATTCACTCAGCAGGTACTTACTGAGAAGCTATCATGAGCTGTGTACTTTGCTGGGTGCTGAGGAGATAGCAGTGAACAAGGACAGGCATCATCCCTGGGAAGTGGTCAGAGAAGGCTTCCTAGAGGAGGTGGATGGGATCTAAAGAAGGAGTTGTGGCCCTGGCTGGTGTAGTTCAGACGACTGAGCACAGGCTGTGAACCAAAGGGCTGTCACTTTGATTCCCAGTCAGGGCACATGCCTGGGTTGCGGGCCAGGTCCCCAGTAGGGGGGTGTGAGAGGCAACCATACACTGATATTTCTCTCTCTCTTTTTCTTTCTCCCTTCCCCCTCTCTAAAATCTTTTTAAAAATAAGACTAATTTGTTTTAAAAAATAAAACAAAGGAGGAGTTGCATTAACTTGACACAGAGGGAAAGAAAGAAAGAGTTTTGGGAATAGCAAAGGCAAAAATCTTCTTGCAAAAGAGAACATGGCTCATTTGAGAAACAGTAAGGAGACCATCATGGCTACAACAGAGTGAGAGGTAGAGAGAGGAGGGAGGTGAGGGCAGAGAGACAAAGAATGGACTGTTTAGGGCATATGGGCTATAGTGAGGAGTTGGGGCTTTATTCTAAAAGTGATGGTGGCAACAAATACCATAAGCTAGGTCAAAAGGCAAATGCCAAACTTAGGAACAATTTTCAAGCCGAGGTAAAGGATTTCCTGCCTCAATATATAAAGAGTTTCTATAAATCAATAAGAAAAAATGACTAATAATCCAATACCCAAATGTGCAAAGGACAGAACAAAACATTCATGAAAAAAAGGAAATACAGATGGCTCTTAAAGTACAACATATGCTAAACAAAATAATAGACATTTTGCATGAACACCAAGATAAACAAAGAAGAGCATATTTTAAAAAGGAATAAATAAATTCAATGAGAGAGGAAGCCTTGCATAGAACAATGATAACAATATACCTAAACTGAGAATGGTTTCATATTTACCCAACCACCTGCACCTAAGGTCAAAGTGGAAGATGTTCACCTGCACGTATAAGGGAATTGCAGGTGACAACCACAGTGAGATGCCATTTTCACCCATTACGATGGCTAAGGTAAAAAGTGGTAACATGGTACTGGTGAGACTGTGTGGAAACAGTGAACTTATCTATTACTGGCAAGATATAAATCGGCCTCCCCTCTGAGAAGTGAAGATCACTGTAAAAACTGTAAGTTTCCACCCCTCGATCAATCGACGGATATCATCCTCCAGTTGTACTTGTGTGAGATGATGTGGGTGCTTACCACTAACAGCAAAATATAGGACACTAAGTGTCCACTACGAGGAGGCTGGCTACAAAATTATGGTGCAAACCATGAAAACTCTGCTGACCTTTAAAAGGATGTTTGAGGGGAATTTTTATATGTTGATGGAGACTCTCTCAAAAGTACATTATTAAGTAAGAGAAAAGTTACTTTTAAAGTACATATAGCACATGAATGTTCATAGTAGTGTTATTTACAATCACCAAAAGGCGGAAAACTCGAATGCCCACCAACTGATAAGTGAATAAATAAAATGTGGTACATACATGCCATGGAATATTATTTAGCCATAAAATGGAATGAAGCACTGATACGTGCTATAACATGGATCAACCTCAAAACCATGATGCTGCCCTGGCTGGTGTGGCTCAGTGGATTGAATGCTGGCCTGCAACCTGAAAGGTTGCTGGTTCAGTTCCTGGTCAGCCAGGCCCCCAATTGGGGGTGTGCAAGAAGCAACCAATGTTTCTCTCCCTCTCTTTGTCCTTCCTTTCTGAAAATTAATAAAAATCTTCTTAAAAGATTTTCTGTATCTATTTTTAGGGAGAGGCAAAGCAGGAAAGAAAGAGAGGGAGAGAAACATTAATGTGTGGTTGCCTCTTGTGCACCCCACTGGTGACCTGGCCTGCAATCCAGGCATGTGGCCTGACTGGGAACCAAACTGGTGACCCTTTGGTTTGCAGGCCAGCTCTCAATCCACTGAGCCACATCAGCCAGGTGAAAATAAAAGCTTTAAAAAAAAAAAACAAAACAAGCCCTGGCTGGTGTAGCTCAGTGGATTGAGCTCGGGCTGGGAACCAAAGGGTCACCAGTTCAATTTCCAGTCAGGGCACATGCCTGGGCTGCAGGCCAGATCCTCAGTAGGGGGCTTGTGAGAGGCAACCACACACTGATGTTTCTCTCCCTCTCTTTCTCCTTCCCTTCCCTTCACTCTAAAAATAAATAAATAAATTTTAAAAATGTTTTAAATGGGCAAAGTTAAAGAATTACTTAAAAAAAAACACATAATGCTGAGTGAAAGAAGCCAGATACCAAAGGACATATATATTGTATGATTCCAAATTATATGAATTATCAAGAATAGGCAAATCCATAGATGCAGAAAGTAGATTAGCATTTGCCAGGCCAGTGGTAGGAGAAAAGAATGGGGAACAACTGCTTAATGGGGGTGGGGTTTTCTGTTTGGGTGATGAAAATGGCTTGGAACTAGATGATTGCACAACATTATAAATGTGCTAAATGCCATGGAATGGAACACTTTAAAACATTTACGATGGTAAAGCTTATGGTCAATGAATTTTACAATATATAATATATACTTTCTTAAGTATATGTTACCCACTATTCTTTGTGTAAAAGTTGGGGAAAGAAACATATATGCATGTTTACTTGACTCAACATAAAACATTTCTGGAAGGACAGGTAAGAAACTTTATGTCTATGGGAAGTAAAGTGGGTGGTAGAGGACACGAGACAGACAGACGGATGTTTTTCTGAATACCTAGCTTCAGGAAGAGTTTTATCGTAGATGCCATCCCTTAGCTGCTCTGTTGGTTGACCCTGGAGACATCCACTCCTACAGTGCTGTGACCCCAGCAGAAGGAAGATTCCCTCTGCCCAATCATCCACCAAAATCCCAGGGACTGCATCTTATTGGTCTGCATGTCTGCATGTTCATCCCTGAACCAATCAAGGCTGCCCAGGGAGATGGGCCACATCACTCATTGGCAGAGCTGGAAGGGGGTTGGAGTCAGTCTTTCCATATCTCATAGAATGAGAGGAGTAAAAGTTACATACTCAGGGGAAACCAAGGAGCTGGAATTGTGGAAGGGATGAAGGAAGCCAGCAGGGAAAAGGCAGGATGAAAGAAATCCCATACAGGCATCTGTGAAAACATGCCCCTCACCAGTCTCCTATTAGAGGAAGCTAAGGCTCAGCTGAAGCACAAGGCAGTTTAAACAAGGAGCTGGACCCTGCAACTCAGAGGAACGGTTTGCTTGTGGAAGCTTAGTCAAGACTGGTATTGAAAGATGAGCAGTTACATTGACCATCCCACTTCTCCAATTAAATCAGACCTTTACACTTTTTTCTCTTCTCCCTTTGTTTGTATCCCAGAAACTTCCAATACTCATCAGTCCACACTCCTCTCCCCACCCCACTCTGCAACCCCAGGAAAATCTGCAACTTCTCTGCCTTCCTGGAGAAGAAATTCCCCATCCAGTTTCATGTACTTTGCTCCTGGATATTGAGAGGAACCAATCAGGACAAGGCTGAGAAGAGCCAGACCCATAACGGTAGCTCAAAGGAGAGTGGGAGGTGCCTGGGGGAAGAAGAGATTGAGTGGAATGTGGTCCTGAGAATGAGAGGAGACTTCTGACTGAATGATCACCAAGTACACCTACTGCGAAACATTTTGTCCACAAAAATGTATTGTGAAGTAATTAATTATTCACTGGCTGCCTCTTTTACTTATTCATTGAAAAAATTTATTGAGCCCCTGCTGTATGCACTCACTGAGACCTCAGAACAAACAGCCCTGGTACAGAGGAGGAAATAGGCTCAGGGGTTTTGTCACTTGGTCACAAGCAGGATTAGAACCAAGCCAACCTGATTCCCAACCCACAGATGGGTTTCCTTGAGCTGGATGGGACAGTAGAGAGGACTCCAGGAGGCTACCAAGTGCTACTCTAGGAAAGACCTTAGAATTGGGATTTCCCAAGGCTGGGTGGCTCTCAACACTGGGGAGCTTGGCTGGGCCCTAACTTCTTAGCAAGAATCTACCCTTAAAATCTGGAGCTCAGAGTGACTTTTGAGGTTTAGGAACATTCCATCTCTCCTGGATCTCTAAGGAGAAAAATGGGGTGAGGGAGTGAGTAGGAAAGGACAGAAGAGCTAGGTGAGAATGGCGATGGGGTCTCAGAGGGGAAAGGGGAAACCCAGCGCTTGCACAGCTCAAAGGACCAAGGCATGCCAGGGCCTCAGTTTGCTCATCTATAGAGGCAATGAAAACACCTGAGTGCCGGAAGGGTGTGCGTGCACAGCTGCTGTCTGGGGTATAGGTAGCGTGCAAACGGAGGGTGTCCAGCAGCTCCAGAAGTCCAGCCCTGTCAGGGGGTGCTGCTTGGGGCTCAGTCCATCTGGTGAAGGGGCAGCCATTAAGACCTATGGGATGCAGTTCCTGCCATGGCAATTAGTTCCTGAGAGCTGGGGGTCAGGGGTCAGTTGTCATGGGGATGATATTAACACCTTCTATGGTGATAGCTGGGTGGGTGGGGCCCTGCTGACAAGGAAAAGCCTAGGGAGACAGGTGTTCTACTACCTTAGACTCCACTTTGATCTCCATGGTAACAGCTGTGGAGCTTGGAGGGCAGCAAGGGTGAACCTGGGGAAAGGGCAGCCCATTTCCATGGTGAGAGCTGGAGAAGTGAATGTTGGTTCACTGTCTGGACAGTTAGTCGGAGGCTGGTTTCCATGGCTGTTGGTCAGGGTGGGGACAACAGAAGTGGAGTTGTAGGTCTCTGGGGTGAAGGATGGTGAGATGGGAAATGTGTGGTATCCATGGTTACAGCTAGAGGAGGAGGCACTATCTCTATGGGTGTGACTGATGAGGGAAGGGCTGTGTGACTCTACGTGACAGATTGAAGCTGGGCTGGTTGCCTTAGTGCCAAGGGGAAGTGGGGTGGCTTGCTTCCATAGCATGTAACATGGATTTTATGGGTCCCTGGGTCCCGGAGATGGTCTCTTTGGTGACAGCCAGGAAAAAGGAGGTCAGGTGGAGGCAGACTTGCCCCTCCAGAGAGATACCTGAGGGTGGGGCACAGCTGCCAGTCATGTGACCCAGCTGGGGTGTATCAATCTGTCAGGGTGTTGACAAAGGGTGGTTTCCCCTGAAACTAGAGAGATGGGGCTGTTCTCTACAGTGACCTGGGGACTTGGTCTGTTACTATGGAAACTTCAGGGGACTCCAGAGAGAGGGGGAAGAATGAGAATACCTAATCAGCAGGTCATATTGGGGAGAGGACTGGAGTTCTCAGTCTCCGAGTGACTATGAGGGCATGATCACCTGTCCAACTCTGTGATTTCTAGTTCTGCTACAGATGATGGGAGGATGGTTCAGTTGTCAGGTGACTGTTAAGTCTTCTGTCTCCAGAGAGATACAGAAGGTGTGTGGCCAGTCTTCAGATAATCCCGAGGGGCCAGCCTCCGGGTGACTTCTGGGATGGTTCCATCTGTGTCCAGGTGACCTCTGGAGGAGTAGTCTTCAGGAGACGTCATAATCTGTTGGCCTCCGGGGGTCCTCAGGGTGTGTCAGGTCTCCTAAAGAAAGTCAGGGATGTAGGGGAAATCTCTCCAAGAAAGGAGGACTTGGTCGGTGTCCAGGAGACTCCAGGGGACTTGTCTCCAGGGGACTTGTCTCCCAGGACTGGCCAGTTTTGGGGGTATGGTCAGTGTTCAAGGACCACAGAGCCTGGTCAGCTTGCAGGGTACTGCAGGGGACATGATCCGTCTCCAGGGGACAGCAGGGCACTCGGCCAGCCGCCAAGCTCCCCAGCCATCCATGCCCTGGCCCTAGACGCGCAGCGGGGTCCAGGCAGCAGGGTCGCGTGCACCCCCCGCCCAGCCGCCACCTCCCGCCCAGCCCCAGCCCCAGCCTCCGGGTGCAGGGTCAGGCACTCCGGGCGCACGGTAGCAGTAGACACCGAAGAGGCTGCGCGTGGCGTCTGGGAACCCGAGGCTGCGCACACCCGGCCGGTGGCCGCCGCAGCGCGCTCGAGGATTCACGATGGGGTAGCGCGCACTCCCGTCTGCTAGCCAGCCTGCGGTGCAACGGTCCAGCAGTTGCAACTTCCACGCGGCGAACAGCTGCCCCACCTTGGCCACGGCCGCGCCGCGCGCCGCACACGCGCGCGCTGCTCCAGAAAAGGGCAGGGGCCGCAGCGGCTTCAGGAAGAACACTCGCCCTGCGGGGTTTGGGAGAGTGATTAGGGCTCCTCCCGGGAGGTGGCCTCCTCCGGATTCAGGACGCCCCCTCCGTCCACCTGCAGCCTAGGACCCCAGACTCAAAATTAAAGAGCACTCCCTCCCATGCAACCCGGGACCCCAGCTTCGGTCTGGGTAGGGTGGATTTGCGCGCGGTGGCGGTCCCAGGGAAGGAATCTCCTGGTCTGGTCCCCAGAGAGCAAGGGCGAGGGAGACGGAACTGGGGGTGGGGTGGAGTGGGAAAGAAAAACTAAGATGTACCCAGAAAAGGCATGTTGCAGGGATGGGAGGGCGGATGAGGCCTACGCACCCGGGAGGTTGGACGTGAAGCAGAAGGCATCGTAGCGTTCCTCTGCGTTATGGCGGTAGCCGTAGTTGCGCACACCCCCGGAGGCACCTCTGCCAACCCCGGCGCTCCCGAGCCAGCCCAGGCCGCCGCAGGGCTCCCGGGGCTCGCTCACCGGGTACTGAACCGAGCCATCGCGCAGCCAGCCCGCGTTGCACCAGTCCAGGCCGTCGCGCCAGGCCGCGTGCAGCTGCTCCGCCGACGCCAGGATGGCGTCTTGCTCAGCGCATGCGCGCTGAGCTTCCGTGAAGGTCAGCTTGTAGCGGCCTCCACGGGGGTGGTAAGGGAAGACCACGCCTGGGGGGAAACACGGGGGTCAGCTCAGGTCTCCCAGCCATCCCCCACTCACCTGCTATCTGGGGTGCTCTGTGTCTATTCAACCTAGATCTTGCAGTTCTTCCCTCACTGTGGTCTCAGACCTGAGCACGCATTTTTCCAGCTCCCACCCCTTATGGCTCCTTTTGCCTTAAGCTTGGCTTGCTTGACCCTCCCTTAACATACTTAATCATGTCTATACCCTTTCCACCGCTGAAAACCTTTGCTCATCTTCTTTCCACCTGTTGAACTACTATTCATCTTTTAAAACCCAGCTCCCACAACTCCCCTTCATTCAGTCCTACATGCTTCTGACATTCTCCCAGCACTGGGACCTTCTCTCTGGTCAAGCCCTGAGTCCATAAAACTGGTAATGTCTATGTCCAGTGCTGATTCCCCCACACTGGGAGCCCCTGAAAAGTTGACCCTGTGCAAACCTCCCTGCATTGTCCAGGGCAATGCCAGTTGGTTTCCCTTCCACTGTCAGTTGTTACAACTCACCCCTCCTCAGACTCGTTCAACTCAGCTCATAAGTGTTTTGTGTGTCTGTGTTTGAAGGGTGGACCTTAGGGGTCAGTTGGGTACTCCCAGCAGTTGCAGGAATGAGGCAACAGGAGCCAGGGAGAAGACTGGGAGTCTGACCTGGATTTAAGTCCTGGCTTTGCTACTCACTAGTGTGTGTCCTGGGCAAGGCCCTAACCTCTCTAAGCCAGTTGAATCACCCTGAGGGGGGTGTAGGAAAATTAAATGAGAGACTCCAGAGAGCTCTTTAACTAAGCTTGGCACATAGAAAATACCTAATAAAGGAAGATTGCTGCTATTATTGTGCTGTTATTTGCTATTGTTGGGAAGTTCAGAAAGTGAAGGTCCTAAAACCATTCCAAGTATCTTATAAATGACTGAAGAAGGCAAACCAGGTGGAAGGGAATTCTTGGGGTGGAAACCCCACCTCCCAGCTCCACAGTCAGCCAATCAGAACATTCCATCTCCCAGCCTTAGTAATTGGCTCACAGATTGGTGCATGACTCAAAAGTTGGGCACAATAAGAGACAACTCTGGGACTTTAGCTAGCATTCCTGGGAAATCGGCTGGGAGGGTGGAAGCCTGGCACAAATTTTTGGTTCCATCAAGGGAAACTTGCAAGAGAAAAGCCCATCCAGGGAAGCAGAGTTGAGGGAGTGATTCCTGACATGGTGTGAGTGCCTGGTCCTCACTGTGCCTGAATTCTACCCCAGGGTTTCCCAGCATCCTCACTATTGGCATTTTGGACTGGATCATTCTTTGCTGTGGGGAACTGTCCTGTGCTTTGGTATATTTCACAATATCCCTGGCCTTTATCCACCAGATGTTACCTGGTACCCCCTTTTAGACATTGCAGTATCCCTTGGTGGCAAAAAAAAATCACCCTGAATCAAAACTAGCCCCCCACCAAGCCTCTAAATTCCTTCAGGCCAACGATTTGATTTCTCTTTCTTGCAATACCCTCCCCTCTCCTCCCTTAGAAATGCGGCTCATCTTGCCCACAGGCTGGTCACCTTCCAGGTCCAGCTTGACCATGCCGGTGTCATCCTCTAGTTCATTGGTGACCTCGCATTCATAGCGCCCATAGTCCTGCAGTGTGACATTTCGGAGAACCAAGGAGGCGTCCCCAGGACCATCACCCTGTAGCTCGGCCCGCCCTCGGTAGCTGCCAAACGCCCGGTGTTGGGGGCCCAACGCCACGAAGACATCAGTAAAGGCCAGCGGCTCCACCACCTTAGTCCACTTGAGGCGGACGCTGTCATGGCTGTGGGTGGCTGCCTCGTAGTGGTAACGGCAGGGCAAGACGATAGTGCCACCCCGGTGGCTGACCACCTGCCCAGGAGCTGTCTGCACCACCACGGAGCCTGACTCACCCTCTGTGGGCGATTAAAGAGGGTTCAGAAGAGGGTCCTAGGGGTGGGGTGGGGAACCTGGGGAGGGGGACTCTGGAAGGGGATATGATTATTAAACTTGGGTGGAGGCAAATCACATGGGTAGTAAGGGGCTCTGGGAGGAGACTGGGGGGGAGAGGAAATGAAGAACCCTGGCCGTCGGGAGCACCCCACGACTTCCCCTTTCCCCCCTCCATGCACCAGGCAGTTACACTTGGACACAGCTCACTGACTCACCAAGCACGTGTACGACTTTCTTCCGGCCGCGCTGCGCCCCTGCGGGGGCCACGAGCAGCAAGACTCCCCAGGCCGCAGCCCAGAGCACGCAGGGACTGAGGGCCTCCCGAGCCCACACCTGGGGGCACCGGGCGCTCAGTCCAACCTCCTGGCCTTTGCCTTTAGAGCAGGGGTCCCCAACCTCCAGGCCTCAGACCAGTACCTGTCCATGGCCTGCTGGGAACCGGGCTGCACAGCAGGAGGTGAGCTTGAATGTAATGCACTTGAACCATCCCGAAATCATCCCGCCCCCCCCTCACCACTCCGTGGAAAAATTTCTTCCACGAAACCGGTCCTTGGTGCTAAAAAGGTTGGGGACCGCTGCTTTAGAGGACTAGCCCCTTGGCTTTCATTCTCCGTGGCAAGGACTTCTCACGTGCCCAGGCCTCTCTTTCCATAGGGTCGCAGAGGACTCCCCCAGGAAGCTTGGCAAAATTCCCCATCCCCATTCCCTCTCCTGGGACCTCACACCCTCTCTCTAGCACAAAGCCCAAGCCACCGAACTCACCCCGCTTTTAGTTCCACCTGATCCGCTCGCTAACCTCAACTCTAGCTGGCTCCGAGCCCCGCCCCCTTCTCTCTCCAGCCCCTAGTGGAGCAAGGGAGGAGGAGGAGGGAGGAGCTGGAGCAGCAGCAGCGGCAAGGTTACTCGTGCGCCAGGAGACTGCAGCAAATCGGGCCGGGGCAGGGGTGGGGGTGGATGCAGGGAGTTGTTGAGAGAGGGAAAGACACGGAGAGGATGAGGAAAAAAAAAAGAAAGAGACACACAGAGAAAAACAGGGAGAGACGAAGACAGAGGAGAGAGAGCGAGAGGGGGAAAGACGGAAGAGGAAGAAAAGAAGGAGACGGATGCAGAGAAGGAGACAGAGACTGAAAAAGAAGACAGGAGAGAGAGAAAGAAGGAGAGAAACATAGAGAAGAGGGGAACTTTGGGGTAGCGAGAGTCAAAGAGACTCAGAAGAGAGAAAAGAAGCCAGGAAAAAAGGGGGAGAGAAACGTAGGGAGAGGAATAGAGGAGAGGCAGGGAGTTCGAGAAGAAGGGCGAGAGATAGGAGGGGAGAGATGGAGCGGGAGAGGGACTGGAGAGAGAAACACAGAGAGACAGAGGGAGGATCCAAGAAAGAGGACTTATCCGGACCCTCTCTGCGGCCCCACTCACCATGCTGCTAGACCAGCCCCCGCAGAGTCGCCCCTGCGCTCCAGGACTGCGCTCCTGGCACACACGGGAAGGACTGGGCAGGTCTCAGCAGGCGGCGCAATCCCGACGACTGCCTGCAAGGGGAGGAGGGAGGAAGGTAGACTAGGTGTCGGGGGAAGGGGGATGTTAAAGGGAAAGCGGAGGTGCGCTTTGCAGAGAGGAAACTGGCACACGAACGGAAAGACAGAATTCACTGGATAGTGAGTGCAGGACCAGGTCCCTGCCCTTGCTAGCCGACCATGGGGCCGCTGGGGAACTTCTCTGGGCCACAGTATAGCCATCTTTAAAACAGAAGAGGACAGCTTGATGGAGTCTTCCATCTTAGATGCCCTGCATGGACAGGGGGCTGAGTAACCTGGGAAAGGGGCTTAGCCTGCAGGTCTGTTTTCCTGTTTGTCACTGGGTGACCATCCCATTGTCCTGGGCTCTGGCACTGAACAGGTGCTCACTCTGTGCAGTCACCCACTCATGCAGCAACAGATCCAAATCCAACTCTGCCCCTCACCCACTGTGGGATCTTGGAAGAGAGTTTGGTCTCTCTGAACCTGTTTCCACCTCTGGGAAATGGAGTACTGATTCTTTGGTGAAGATCCAATGGCTAAACATACATTAGGTGCCTAATAAGTATTGGTAGGGGTAAGGAGCAGGGCAGTCTGATTAAGCCCCTGACCCTACTCTGGGCCTGTCACCCCTGAACCTGGCCCTTCATTCAGGTTCAGTAATCAAACCAGGAAACAGTGAGCTCTCCCCCCACCCCTTGGGCTACCTCCCCAGGCTGTTTCCTGGAAGTATGAGCCAACCAGACAGCAGGGGCAGGGTTATGAGCTCTGTGGTTGAAGTGGCCAGGGCTTGGTTCTTAGGTGCATCCAGGAGGTGTGACCTCAGACCAGCACATGCACCTCCTGCAGGCTGTTTCCCCACCTGGAATATGGGGTGAGAGTCATCATATCATAGCATGTGAGGTTAGCCCTTGGCATGGTGAGCAGTAAGCACTTAATAACTGTGCCACACTACTACTTATTATAATTTATTGGCAGGGATAGGACTTTGGACTCTTCTTCTGGTTGTAGCTTCAGGCAGGTTCTGATCCTCTCCGAGCCTCTGTTTCCCCATCTGAAAGGTGGGGCTGCACTCCCGCCGGAGGCCGACTTCTGCTGTCTGGCACCTTCAGCTCCTAACAGCTGCACTGGCAGTGATGGTGAGCCTGTGTAGGGTCTGAGAGGACAGTCCCTCACCCCTTCCCCTGTAACATTCAGGCAGCAACATTTCAGGCATCAAAAGAGCTTTTTTAATTAATTTATTTATTTGTTGTTCAAGTACAGTTTTCTGTCTTTTACTCCCATCCCAACCCATGCCCCCAGTGCTCCTCACCTCCGTCCCATTTCCACCCCCCCTTGGTTTTTGTCCATGTGTCCTTTATACTAGTTCCTGTAAAAGCTTTTAATAGAAGCATCCATGGAGGTAGTGGGTAAATTCTGCAGAGGAGCAGAAGAACCTGTAGAGGTTTGGGAGCAGTGCCAGTTCAGCATGGCCGTGGTCCTCTCTGCCCCAACACCTGGCCTTGGGTCTTCCATCCCACCAGCTGGCCTTGAAACCACCATAACCAGAAATAAAAACAACAGGGATGTATGTGCTGTCTCTAAAACCCCCAACCTGCTCCTCTGAGGACAGGGCTGGCTAGGTGTATAACAGAGTCCTGGGGAATCCCACGGCACCCTCAGTGCTGCTTCTTGTGGGGAGCCTGGGAGCAGGATGGCAGGCGCAGGAAGAAGGCCGGCCACCGAAGGCAACGGTAGGCCAGCAGCTGGGGACCCAACGCATACAGCAGGTTGCACAAGAAGAAGCAGACCTGGGCGTCCTCCGGCACACGATAAGTGAAGGGCGTGCGCAGGTGCATGGAGGCACCCATGTGCGAGAACTGCGCCTAGTGGCCAGACAGGAAGGTTGGATGTCAGAGGCTGGGAGAGAACTAGTCCCAGAAGCACCAACATCTCACCTTGGGGAGCCCAGAGGGTCCCTGTCCCCATCTTGTTGGCTCTGCTGACCAATCCATCTCCCCTTTCCAGTCCATGTTTGTTTCTAAATATCCCCGTCCCTACAGGTTCTGTCCATCCTTGTACATCTGTCTGTGAGCCTCTCTCCAGCTGCCCAATCAGAACCATGTTCACTATATCTGCTGGACCCTGCCTCCCAACTTTCTGATCTAGGTCCAGCTCTTCCCCATCCCAGGCAGCCACCCTTGACACAAATCTTGTTGATTCTACCCCAGAGATGATTTCCTGGTCATCTGACCTGCACCCAGCCTTTATCATATCCCATCATGAGCCCGGTAACAGACCCCCAGCTCTGACTGGGTTCTCCCCTGCTCCCATGACTTTCCATCTTGCTATGCACAAGCCCTCCAAAGTCAAAGTTCAAAGCCTTCAGCATCTAGCTGCCAATTTCTCTTGCTTCTGCCTTTACCATTTTTATGACTCTGCTAAATCACTGTCCCCCTCTGTGCCTTTCCTTAGGCTGTTCCTATTCCTGGAATGCCATTTCCTGCCTGGAGAACTCATAGCCACATGTCTAAGCCCAGTTCCTATGTCCCCTCTTCTAAGCGATCTGCCCCCTCTGGAATCCCTCTCAGCCTCTGTCCCTCCCTCTCTTCAGTTCTGACCCCATGGGGGGGGGGGTCTGTGTCTAGCTCTTTCTCCCCCAGGCTAGGGAATCCTGGGGTACTGAGCTAAGGCTGGGGCCTCTCAGGGGTCCAGTATCACCCTTCCCAGGGAGAGCACAAAATCAACTGATGGGTAGGCAGAAACTTTCTTTGTTATTCACCTGCCCCGTCCCATCCCATCTCACCTGGCTAATGGCTCCAGCAAACACCATGGCCCAGTCAGGCAGCCAGGAACAGCCAGGAAAGATAAGGGCATAGGCAGCCAGGCCATAGAAAGGCAACACATAGAACATGTACACCAGCATCTGGGGAGCACACAGCCAATGGGGATGAGCAGCTGCCCCAGATGGGTCACCGGAGGCCCCTCCAGTGGAACTCTGGGAGGATCTTGCCAGCCTCAGGCCCCACACAGGATAGAGGCTCTTTGTATATCCTACCTTGTGCAACCTGCACCTCTCTTTCCTTTGAGCATCCCCCCGCCACCCCCACCCTCACACATACTCACATACACACACTGAGCCCATCAACATAACCCCTGCGACAATGATAAGCTACATGACTGGCATGTGATTCAAACCTGGCCAAACCAGAGCCTGCCTGAGGCTTGTGTTTAAACTGGGGGGGAAATTAAGACTCACGTTCCTCTGGGGTGGCTAAGTAGGACAGAAGGAAGCCTGGAGTTACCCAAGGCTCTCATTGCTGTCCCACAAAGGAACCTTTGGGAGTAGAGCCCATGCAAAGAAAGCAGAGCCCAGAGACAGAAGTCTCCTTGAGTTCCTGGATCCAGCCATACCTGAGGCTCTGTCTATACTTTTTTGGTAGGACAGTCATTCTATATGTTCTTCTGCCAGTTTGACTGGTGTTTTTGGCACCTGCTTCAGAGAGATCCAGTGGACCCCTATGCATGGCAGGATCATGGTTGTCTCCTCCCACCTGCCTTCTCACCTGCACCTTTGGGTAGGCCACGGGGTCCCGCAGGTATGGTTCATATTGATAGATATAGACAAAGCAGGCATCTGTGGGGCAGTCAAGCACCGCCTGGGGCCAACAGAAAAACCGACAACCCACTTCAAACATCCGTCCCATAGGAAGCCTTCCCCAGCCTCCCAGGCAGTGCCTGCATCCCTCACTCTGGCCTTCCCCAGCCTTAATTCTCTCCTCTGGCTGAGGATCCACAGACACTGGAGCTGGTGAGAAAGCTACAGGGATTGGGGCTTCGTGATGAAACAATCAATGAAGAACTCATGAAAGACTCAAGGAGAAACTTCTCTGATGATCAGACGGGAGAACAGTGGCCCTTTTGTACTGGGTAAAGGAACATATTTGGGAAGGGAAGGCTGGGGAGGAAGGCTGAAGGCAGGAGAGGGGTAGGCTAGCCAGACTCACAAGGCCCCGGAAGAGGGTGAAGAACCCAGCAAGGATGAGATATATGATGAGGGCCAGGTCGGTGGGGCGCTGCAAAAGGCCCTTTCTTTGCTCCTCTTGCACCTGCCCCATGGGAGAGAGACAGCGTGAGATGTCTGCTATCCAACAGGCACTCCAAAGAGCCTCATCTCTTCCTTCCTAATGACCAAGGAGGTCCTTCCAAGGAGATAGTATTTGTGACCAGGATCAATTCAAATGGAGGACATTGAAGTAAGTGGGCCCAGGTCTGCCTGAGGGCAAGGTACTTACCACATTGAGGGTGCAGCTGGTTGGTGACCGGGACTCCTTGAAGACCCTTACGCCAGCCCAGCACGGGACCAGCACGTATGGGAGGGTGAGGAAGAAGGTGGGCCTGATCTCAGAGCTGTATTTCCCTGTCATGGAGAGGTGAGCGACACTCAGTAAGGCTCTCCCAGGCCTGGCTGGGCCCTTCCGGTAGGTGGGCCGTGCCAGAGCCTCTGAGTGGAAATCATGATTCACAAATGCCATACTTGCTCAAGATTTTCTTCTTCTTTTTTCAAATTTTCTTCTTTTTAAAACATTTTTCTATTTTTTTTTCTACTTGCTTAAGCCTTAACATACCTGGTTCCCCAGTGCCTACAAGGTGATGTCCATGCTCCTCAGACTGGCCTGCCTCAACTTACCTTTTGGACACAGCTCCTACACGTCAGCTGTTCTTGGCTTCCCCTGGAAGCATCCCCCCCCAAGAGAAAATGGGGAGAGGTGGGCAGGTTGCTGGCTTAAGCTGTGCATGAACAGACATGCGGGACCCTCTGCAGACCTTGGGAAGAGGAGGGAGGACCCAGTGGGTATTTCTAGGCACAGAGCAGTGATGCTGGGGAGGCAGGTTCCTCAAAGCCAAGTCCTTACCAAGAATGTTTCCCAGGAGAAACACCAGGAGGCTCATGATGAAAGACCCCAGCCAGTACAGT